GAGTGAAACTCTGTCTCAAAAAAAAAAAAAAAAAAAAACAAATGAACAGAGCATGAGAAACCTGTGGAGCTTAATCAGACATACATCTACATTCATGCCATTGCAGTCCTGGAGGGAGAGGAAAAAAAGAACGGAGGTGAAAAAGTACTCAAATATAGTGGCTGAAAACTTGTCAAATTTGGCGAGACATAAACTTAAGTAAGATTCAAAAACCTGACCAAAGCCCAAACAGGATAAACCCAAAGAAATCCATGCCAAAACACATCACAATTAAACCTCTAAAAGCTAAACCAAGAGAAAAATCTTGAAAGTAGCCAAAGCATAATGACATTGTAACCATAAAGGGAAAACAAAAGATCCTGATTTAATAAGGAATAAAGGCAGTTCATTAGATGCAGAGCTAAACCTGATTTAATACTTTGCCCATTTATTATGAAGAAGACTTCATAAAAACATTTAAGCCAGAAAATAAGTTTCTTGGTTAACGGTCATTGTGCTACAAGGCTGTGGTGCTGCCACATCACAGCAATAGCACTATAATAAACCTCATAAACACAGGTGGAGCCTACCATACACCTTTCTATCTCAAGACAGGTGGACAGGACAATCCTTCAATTCAAATAACCAATCAAGTACTTATTAAATATTTATAAGGCATCAAATCCTATGTTATTTGCTGCATGGAAAGAAACAGACTAAAGAAAACTTTGGGGTTTTTTTTAGGTTTTTTTTGGGTTTCCTTGAGACCAGATCTTACTTTGTATCACCCAAGCTGGATTGCAGTGGCACGATCACAGCTGGCTGCAGCCTCCACCTCTTGATTTTCATGCCTTAGCTTCTTGAGTAGCTACTACTACAGGTGTCCACCACCACAACCAAATAATTTTTTTGTATTTTTCGTAGACAAGGTTTCGCCATATTCACCAGACTGGTCTTGAACTCCTGGCCTACCAAGGTGCTGGGATTACACGTGTGAGCCACCATACCCAGCCAAGAAAACGTTTCTTGAATAGAGCTCACAATTATTTTACATTAACAAATATTTACATAAAATAGCATAAAATTAAGTATCTAAAACAAAGAAAGCACCAGTAGTATTTTTAATACATTAATTTAGCAAACAAAATCCTCAAGAGTAGCAGGCTTTAAAGAAGTAAGTCTAATGGGATGTTTAAGACTTCCTAAATAATTTAACATCAGCAGACAGCTCTATGCTGCTGAGGAAAACCCACTCTCCTAGGAAGTGCTTAATATCTTTAAGCTATTTGAAATTTCAATTATCTGACCATTTTTTATCTGTAAAAACGTGATTTCATATGGTTTCATCGAATACCCGAAATACTAAGATATCTACAACTAACTACATACAAACACAGTATGGAAGAACTCTTCTAGAATGTGGATCTGGAAATTCTTCAAACTGCAATTTTAAGTCTTAAAAATTACCTAAGATTTGGAAGGTACAAAGGAGTGATTAGATGGCATCAAGTCAGTAGGGACAATGAGCAAAGTAAACGAGTAAAGTTGTGGAAGCCCAACACATTCCGGAAACTGACTCAGCTCAAACAAAAATAGGACTTTCAAACACTTTCTAGGAATTCTCAACTATATTTTCTAGCAAGCAGAAATCATTGCAAATTTTTGGAAAGGATGACACAAAAAGAATAGCTAACATTTATATAGGAATGTATTTTGTTTTACAAAGCTATTTTTTACTTGATTATCCCCATTTCTCTGAATGGAAAATTATGGTTAAACATCAAGTGACTCCAGACTCACACGTTTGCTAGTGACAAGAGCCAAAATTCAAATTCAGATCTATAACTCTAGTCACAGTACCTTTCTAGTATTATACCATGAAATGTCTTGAAAACACAATACAGGGCTGGGCGCAGTGGCTCATGTCTGTAATCCCAGCACTTCAGGATGCCAAGGAGGGTGGATCACCTGAGGTCAAGAGTTCGACACCAGCCTGGACAACATGGCAAAACCCCGTCACTACTAAAAATACAAAACTTAGCCAGCCATGGTGGCGTGTGCTGTAATCCCAGCTACTCAGGCGTCTGAGACAGGAGAATCACTTGAATCCAGAAGGCAGAGGTTGCAGTGAGCTGCGATCGTGCCATTGCACTCCAGCCTGGGTGACAGAGCAAGACTCCATCTCAAAAAAAAAAAAACTAAGAAAAGAGAATACAGGCCAGGTCTGTACAGGATGCACAGAAGCAAACACACAACCAGAAGCACAGACCATTTCGTGGGAGATATATAAAAATGCACATCTTCCAACTGCTTCAATACACACAGGTAATAGCAATTTATAATGTAACTGGGGAACACCCTGTTTCAGTTTAAGCCTGCACAATCTACACATCTTATTATCAAAGGGATTTATTTTCAGTCTCCAACTACTATACAGCACAGTTTCACAATAAAAATCTAAAATTACACTGGATATATTCCCTTAAGTAAGGTAAAAGTTAGATATCACTTTCCCTATAATTAAGGGAAATAGCTAAGAATATACATATGCATAATCAATTCCTCCATCTTCAAGTAATAAAAGAAAATTAACGTTTCCTAAATTTTCATTATAGCATCTAGTAGTGAGGACCGGGCGTGATGATTCATGCTTGTAATTCCAGCACTTTTGGGAGGCTGAGGCAAGAGGATTGCTTGAGCTAAGTTTGAGACCAGCCTGGGCAACATGGCAAAACCCCAGCTCCACTAAAAATACAAAATTTAGCCAGGCATTGTGGTGCACGCTTGTGGTCTCAGCTATTAAGGAGGCTGAGGCACAAGAATCACTTGTACCCGAGAGGCAGAGGTTGCAGTGACCCAAGATCATGCCACCATAATACAGCCTGGGAGACAGAACAAGGCCCTTCTTTAAAAAAAGGGAAAGAGGCCGGGCACGGTGGCTCACGCCTGTAATCCCAGCACTTTGGAAGGCCAAGGTGGGTGGATCAC